ATCAAATACAAATGCGGGGACGGGCCAAGGAATGATTCTTAAGATGAGAAAAATTGCTTTTTATCGACGAAAATTCGATTTGTCGCTAAAACAGTATTTTGCATTCTCGACATCCGCACATGATGCTATATATTATGATGGAACTGCAAGAAACTCGTATATGCTGTTCAGGTTTTCTCACTTAAGGATTCTAGTGACGCTTTGCTATCGAAAGGAATGGGGTATTCAATGGGATATTGATAGCCTGCTGACGTAAATACATGCTTATCCAATGCTTTCACATTTTGTCTTCACTTTCGAATCTGATAAACTGATTAACGCGTCAAGATAGCTTGTAAACGAATTGGTATATCGCATGCTCTAGAATTAATTGCACATATATTCAAAACTCGTGTCACTGAACGTATATGATTTGTTTCTACAGAACAAGTCTTGTTCGCAATGAGGTTCGCTTCGGAATGGATACAGTTACAATGCGTTGTCTCCCTGTTTTTCAGGTTTGCGCATATTCTTTTATTTCATCGCGTTGTGTGCTGAGGTGCATTAAACAACTACATCTGTTTATTCACCTTGTTGCTTGTACTTCGTTTTATAACTGTTGTACGCTGCACAGTCATCCAACTCTTAATCGCTTTAGAAAATATGTTTCACAAGGTCAAGGTATAGATACAGATGTGGCGTTCATCATTCTGTGATTTATATAAGTGAACACGTAAGAGATGCTAAAGCACGCGAACTTGGGGTTTCTGAAGTCCTAGCGCTACTCCCATGAGCATTATATGAACTAGACGTTGGAGCACGAAGTTTGAATATAAAATAGACACGTAAGCGAAGCAAAAGTATTCGACCTTGGTCTCTGATGTCCTAGCACTACTGTCATGAGCATTATATACGTGGGAGCAAACATACTAAGATACACAGATTGAATATAAAATAGATCACCTCTGTACTAGTATTTTTGGTACGTATTCAGGTTGCAGTATCCTTTGCCCTAAAGAAAACGTTTTTGAAATTAAGACCAGGGTAATAGCAGTTGAATTGAAAGTGGATAAATTAATGACACTAGTCATAGCTATTTTCAGAGTTTTTACGTACATGTAAGTACTCAGCTTTTTAGGTGTGTTTATTGCTCTCATTGTTGGGTGTTGAAGTTACAGAGGAACACTAATCGTTGCTGCTTAATTGGGTTATTTTGTCGATAAAATTAGTAAAGATTAAATGACTGGATTTAAAATGAGATTAGTATTTTTTAGCAGCTCGGTATTTCATTTTGCTTCAAATGAACGCATCTTAAAACGGTGGCCTCCGTCTTTCTGACTTGGTGCAACCCGCTTCTGATCCCTGAACGGGGCTGTCGTCTGCATTTAAACGGATCGTTTGTCATGCATTCCTTCCTCAAAAGCAGCTGTGTTTTGACTGCTATTTGTGAATTGATGAACATATGGTCGCAACGTGTCTAGACGAAGTAAATAAGTTAACGAATTAAACGCTGTGCTTGGCTTATCCAACTGCTTGCAGAGCGTACATATAGATTATAAAAACGGCCTATTTTTAGTCCGCGTAAGTGCGTAGCAGTTCTCCAATAAAATAGAGCATCGACAGCTTATACTTGGCTAAGGCAGCAGTACATTCTTTATTGTTATACAGGCGCAATATTTCATTGAATCTGACTACTACCGATTTCCCTTGTGTCAAAGATCGCATTCACAACGAGTTGAGACAGGCTTTACAAATCCTGGGGACTAAATATGGCGGATCTACATGAAAAGAAAACCGCCTAGTCTCTCCGCTCTCNGCCGAGATTTAATGACTGTCCCCCCGCAGGGACGACGTGTGGGGAGGCGTGTGAGAGGCGGAGAGACTATTAAAAGATTAGGCGGTCACTAGATTACTGTCAGCTTGGCCGGCTTAAGCGTCTGT